CCTCTGACCCTCCCCCGTCTCATGCTCTCTCTCTCTATCTCATTCTCTCTCTCAAATAAATAAATAAAATCTTTAAAAAAAAAAAAAAAAAAAAAAAACCTTCACTCTTCTATCAATCAACCCAGGGGAGTTAAGAAAAGATGAGGAATTTTTTGAGAAAGATGCCATGTGACAGACTGTAACAGAGAGATGAAAAATGATGCCTGCAAATTTTCTTTTGCTTCAAAGTAATCCCTCCCCACATTTTCTCACAAATGGCATAAACATCTAAGTTGTTTTAAATTACTTTTTGGATACAAATTGAATATAACTATGTCCTGAGATTGGATCATACAGGGGCCTGGTTTATTCTGGAAAATTAGATGCCCTGGCATTTGGGATTTGGAGAACAATATACTAAACTATAATTTGAATCAAAAGTATCATTGTAGACCTGGGCAAAGAGCACAACTTCACAGGGACTGTGTGACTGTTTTTAACAAATTTTCTAAAAATTTTTGCAAATTTTCTACAAGTATGTGCCAGGCAGGTTATGGAATCCTGCTACAATGGGACAGGGAAACTCAATGACTTTGGGATCTGAACTACATTGCGAGGGAAGAGTGAGTCTTTACCACGGACTGCACCACACAGAATACCGATCTTATGAAGTGCTATGAGAATTCATTAACAACCTTCCTCATGAGTTTGCAAACATGACATTAATTTTAACCTAATCTCCCTAGATGCCCAATTCCCGACACCAACGCTCCCTCTGGTTGTAAAAAAGACTGAGTGCGAGATGTTCCTAGAGATTACGATCCTGTGCTCGCTTCGCCAGCACATATACTAGAGATTACGATCCTGATACCACAACACCAGCTGAGATGTACCCACTAATGACTGTGGCTTGGTTCTCACTTGAATAGCTATTTTCCTGTAGATACCGGAAAGAACTGCTGATTGTAATGTGCCAGAGATGGGAGAAGAAGGCACAGCACATCACAGGACAAAAAAAAGCAACAGCAACAACAGCAAAAGCAAGAGCTGATGGCCAGTCGGCAGGGTCTGGCCCTGGGATACGTGTGCCTGGGAAGGCGTGTGCATCGCTGCACCTGCAGGATGGAGTGGGCACACACGTGCTGATCCAAGGCCATGCACCCCCCAGGATGAGAGAGATGTCTTATGGTTATCTCCTCGGTGGCAAGCCATTAACCAGGAGTGGTGGAGCCCAACCTGGAGAATGGGCAGTCTTTCACTAGATCCACACTGAGTGACTTGTAGCCACGTCCTAAGCAGCCCCCCTGAGGGTGCCTCCTGAACATTCACACCTCCAGCCGTACATCCAGCAGAGGCAGGATGCGCTGCTAAGCAAATTCCTATGTAAAATGCTTGATCCCAAGCTACTCAATTAACCACCAATAGATCGGTGAGAAGCAACACTTGAACTCATTTTGGCAAATACCTCCTAAGAGTTTCAGTCATGGCCCAGAATACCAGATAGTAAAGAGCAGTTCAGAGATGGCTTATAAGTCAGGCACTGTTCTATTGTTCTGTCTTTATCAATTCATTGACACCTCTAACAATCCTTTGAGGTAGGCACCACTATCAGATTCTTAGTGATGGGAACTAAGGCACAGAGAAGTTAGAAAATCTGTCCAAGATCCCAAAACTAGTATGTGCAGAGGGAGCCCAGAGACCATGCTCCTTAATGCTATACCACACCTTCTATCTAGACCACTGTGAAGTTT